CACTGCAGGGAAAGAGACACACACATAGGAGTAACAGTTTATAATACCTTCGGAGTCTATATGTGCAGACTTCAGGAGTTCCATCCTGCTATTCAGTGTGGTGATTACTAGCTTTTTGCCAGTAGATCCGATGTTGTACATGAGTTTTCCATCTTCTACAGAGTAACTAGTGTGGGCTTTCCTGACAGACCGCTTCAGGTGTTCACTACTCCCACGAGGGTACGTCTGTTCTTCCAAGTAGGTCAAAATGCTTCTATAGAACACATCTAAGGATATCTGAAAAGTCCAACAGGTCACAATGTCTCTGTATACGTATAACACATCTAAAGCATGATGAAACATTAACTGAGCTGGTTGTGATATATGAGACATTCATAAATTTGTGTATTTATGATGCTATAAAATTCCTTATATACATATATTGTTGAATAGAAATGAATATCATGAATGAATATACACATGTGCAATTATTTGATATCAAAATGTTGAAAATGGTACTGTGGGATGAATTATCATGACATACACAGTATACAATACATAGTTATTACATGTGAAAGGCGAGGTCAACACTCGATGAATTTCGATATCACTGGTTAAGGGCAAATATCTGACTTAGGGAAGTTTCCCGCTTCATTAGTGAGTACCTTGCACATTTCTTGATCATATTTTTCAAAATCTCCATCATTATCTGCCTCCTTGGCTGATTCTGTTTTGATATGTTTGCTATCCTTGAGCTGCTGGGAATGTCTGGGTTTACGCTTTTTTGCCCCCTTGGGTAGCCCTGTAGACAAAGGAACGTCTGTATTACCCTCTGAACCCTCAGTACTGTAAACAACATCACTATTATCATTGTTCTCTTCCACTTCTTTGTCGGTTTGTTGCAAGCCTCTCTTTCTTTTTCCACGTTTCTTTCCAGACAGATTAGAGCTTGTGGGTACTTTAAAGTCGGTTTTGTCCGTCACCTCAACGTTTTGTTCCGTGACTTCTTTCCCCATATCACTGGTATATTCTGTGTAGAGTTGGACTAGTCTATCAGTTGAGCACTGCATCTGGCCTATTGTCAGGTGGGGGTCCAGTGTGGCACTTGTGCAGCTGACATCCTCTCGATGTGATAGGTATAGGGGCAGGCGGAATTCCCTGTGGTAAATAAATGTAATGCTCATTAATATTAACTGCTACACATATATTTGGTTCAGAAATCACAGACACTTAGTTATATTATATGGCAGTGCTTCACTCAAATCAATGTTTCAGTTAGATGTGTAAAATTATTCATTCAAATTAACAACATAATTGAAAATGAGTACAATACATGCATATATTACCTGCCAAATGTTAAATAGCTTGGTGTGTACTGCGCATCTTTTCCTCTAGATATACGCAGAGGCAAAAGGGCAAAATCTAAACACTTATCCCAACACTCATTATTCTCAATAAAACTGACAACTTTTTTTTCTACTTCATTCCATTGTGCAGCTGAAAGACAAGTTAAAAAGTAAATCACAGAAGCATTTAGAAATACAGCATATCACAATTACAATACATGTAATGATACAGAATTTATTTTCCTCTTCAAGAAGAAAAACATTTAATCATCACATGCTTATCTGCTGTTTCTATTTGAATTACAACTGCATTATTGGCGACTTGGAAGTGGTTCATGTATAACCAGAATAATAGTGGCTAAATAATGTGATGGGACAACCAGATTATACAGTGGTGACATGAAAGTGAAACAACCAGATTATACAGTGGAGACATGAAAGTGAAACAACCAGATTAGTGATGGCTGGATATCTGGATAACCAGGTAAATGGTGGCCAGATATTGGCACATCAGGATTAGTGGTGTCTGTATTTAATAATAGGACTTAAAGATGACATTAATATTGTGCTTAGTTAAAGTGTACCTATTTCTTGATTTTAAACATTTTACTGCTCATTTTTATTCTTACATGTACATGTATATCAGCAGTAATACAGATCATGATTAACTATTAATGTAAAAATATACATCATGCAATATAAAAGTGAAAAACAAATCCAATCCTGTTTCACATCAAGCCATACTTTTGGGGGCATTGGTTTATTTTTAAGGTAACACCACAACTCACATGAATTCCAAACAGTGGAACACTGATGTATAGTCACATCAAAAAGACCCTGATCCTTCAACACTTTGGTTAAGGGTTGACACTGAGTCGTTGAGCATGATGGTCCACAGTCCTTCACATTTAGGTTCTGCATCACTCCAAACCTATAAATCAGAGCAAGTCAGTAGATATCATCAAACTAACTACCGGTAAGCGACATTATACAACAAACCAATGCACATATAAGGTTTTTTTCCTTACATGTGTGTTTTCCGAGATGACGCAAAAGTGAATTTTACAAATTGTTACATGTACATATCATTCCATGTATCATTATCAATATCTCAATACAACATAAATATTGAAAATCAAATACTGGATTTTGAACATCAAAATTAGCTAACTTTGCACCATGCAAAAACAACCTAATTACTATGTGTACAGAAATGCATTTGTTTTTGTATATCTTTTGAAGAGTAACTGTCCAATTTTACATGTCATTGGCTGAAATTGTCAGTGATGTAAAACTATTGTTTGTCCAGCAATCTCCTCCTACATTTTTCAA